AGGTATCACTGATTATCTGTGGTTAGTACCGTGAGCTATAACATCGTGGTCACACTTTATTGAATTTCTTAATAACCCGATAAGGGTGATAAAATTTCGGTTTACGTTTTAAAATATGTGTGTTATTGAGACCGTAGTCACTGTGTCGGTTACTTAAACATGCGTAATATTGCAACATTCACCAGTGATGTTAAAAATTCTGTAAAAAAAGACACACCGATCAGTTGATTTGTACTGTTGATGCTAGATCAGGTACACACGTAACCGTGGCTGATGTATTTATACATAGCAGGTATATATCCTGACAAGATCTGGTATTCTAAATTACCTAAAAGTATTTGTAATAATAACCGATGCTTGTCATCACACGAGCTATTTACGGGTGTAAAATCAACAGTACTCTTAAATTATTAAACACCTCGGTAGCAGCAGTCTCCTCAAGGTAAATATAAATCAACCGGGCACGTAATCGATGGGTGGTTTACACCAGCGTGTTATAGGTGTAATGACTTACGACGCGTCACAACATTGTTTAATGGGGAAATGACTTACAACGCGTCACAGCATTGTTAAATGGGGAAATGACTTTCAACGCGTCACAACTTTGTTCACGGAGGTAATGACTTACAACGCGTCACAACTTTGTTCACGGAGGTAATGACTTACAACGCGTCACAACTTTGTTCACGGAGGTAATGACTTACAACGCGTCACAACTTTGTTCACGGAGGTAATGACTTACAACGCGTCACAACTTTGTTCACGGAGGTAATGACTTACAACGCGTCACAACTTTGTTCACGGAGGTAATGACTTACAACGCGTCACAACACTGTTTAATGAGGTAATGACTTACAACGCGTCACAACTTTGTTCACGGAGGTAATGACTTACAACGCGTCACAACTTTGTTCACGGAGGTAATAACTTACAACGCGTCACAGCACTGTTTAATGAGGAAATGACTTACAACGCGTCACAACTTTGTTCACGGAGGTAATGACTTACAACGCGTCACAACTTTGTTCACGGAGGTAATGACTTACAACGCGTCACAACACTGTTTAATGAGGTAATGACTTACAACGCGTCACATCTTTGTTCATGGGGGTAATGATTTAAACGCGTCACAACTGTATTCGAAGGATACATCGTGCGACTTCATAATATTTCATTAATTGTAATGTCTAATGGCAAACACTGTGTGTGTAGATGTCATTACCGACAAATTTTCAATTTAATGATAGAAGTACAGGTTGAAATCACCCCAGTTACGAAACAATCTGTAAAACCCTCATTACTGTTCAAATGATGTTTCTCGCCATTAATAAGTCGTGCTGACGCTAAACGATCCCATGCAAGCTATTGACACCCGTGTTGACTCTGAGAGGCTCACAGCCACATTTACAGTATTTATCAAGTAGTTTGTGCACACCATTTGACTGGAACAGATGTAGTTTGTTCTGTATAATACAGGTGAGTGACTTAGATCATTTGTAACATTGCCTGCCTACTCTGTATGATCAGAGCGTGTGTTTCTCCCATCAGAAGAACCATTATTAGTGTAAATCTATAGATCTCATTCCATTATCTACAAATATACTACCACGTGTACGTGTTTAATCGACTTTTGTTACGTGCCTGAGGAAAAGTCTACGGACTTAAGGTTTTTCTCTTTTATAGTCATATCAAAATAATAATATACCACATCGTGGCAGTATACTATGTTACACATTGTAGTGGTAAATTGTGTAACACAATATAGTGGTAAATATGTTATACATTGTAGTGGTAAATTATGTAACACATTCTAGTGGTAAAATATGTTATACGTTGTAGTGGTAAATTATGTAGCACATTGTAGTGATAAAATGTGTTATACATTGTAGTGGTAAATTATGTAACACATTTTAGTGGTAAAATATGTTATACATTGTAGTGGTAAATTGTGTAACACATTGTAGTGGTAAAATATGTTATACATTGTAGTGGTATATTGTGTAACACAATATAGTGGTAAATATGTTATACATTGTAGTGGTAAATTATGTAACACATTGTAGTGGTAAAATATGTTATACATTGTAGTGGTAAATTGTGTAACACAATGTAGTGGTAAATTGTGTAACACATTGTTGTCGTAAACTACATAACACATTGCAGTTTTTGAATTCGAATTTAAATATTGGATAAATCGGAATTCCACATATACTCTACAGGACAAGATATGTGGAGGAGACAATTTGCACTGCTATGCGTAATGAAAATGGATGTTAATCATTATACACTGAAAAAAATCATTTTAAAACTATTTTCACTACACAGATAACTTTTTCCTCAACTATAAAATCCTATCACTGTCAATACCAGCTTCTCAGAGAGCCAAAATATTAATCAACGCTGAATATTGCTTATTTATCTATCGACAGATCTCGTGTTTATGCCGTTTTATTTTTTACATGCGTAATGAGAATGGATGTCATTCATTATAAAGCGAAAAAGGCCATGTTTGAAATTGGAGAAAAATAGTTGTGTATGATTTGAACACAGAAAAGGTGTAGCAATGTAATTTTAGTATTATGTATCGTAATATGTGTTGTTCAGGTTATATAAAAGGCACCTTTTATTAAGTATTTGCCTTGGTTATGTACGATAAATAGTGTTACATTTAGCTGTGTGAAGCTTAATTTAGCTGTGTGAAGTAAAATCTAGCTGTATGAAGCTCAATATTCAACAAAACAAAGTTCATTTTTTCTTAATGTTGGGTGTTAGTACCATCGTGTTTTAGACTTGTTCGCTCGTCTCGTTGTGTACTTTGTATTCAATCTTTCCATTGGGATGCTGTTTTCTAAAAAATATTTCTTCTGTAGGAGTATTTGTTTTTTCCTTTGTGCGAAAACGCCTTCATTTTCTGCGTTTGATAGCCTTCTTTTCAAAGGAAAGTGAAAGACAGCACATATATTTGAATTATGCTCGTGCGCTTTTCATGATGGGCACGTCTAAAGCTAAGATTAGATATACTGGAGATGTATGTATCGAAGAGCTTGCCTAGTCCTTTATTTTAGACAATCGTACGATTTATCGTCATCCAAGAAGGCGATTACTGACCACGTCCTTAGTGTATAATATGGAACTGGAAATCGACGGATTTTTCTACATCAGCCGCTTACTTCGATATTCACTCATAACGAAATCAATCGGGACAGTTTCCTCCAAGATGTGTGATAAGCATGAATATTTCTTTTTTCTTCTTGTGAATTTTCCATTTCTGGATAGTAACTCCTGCTTTTCCAGGCTATGGGGTTAACATTCAGTATCTGACTGGACATTCAAGGACTTGTTACCAATATCACGATATTGACCGAATGATTCTGTTGATGGATATTATGAGGATGATTTACGGTCGTCAAAAGATCTTTTATTGGGAGATATAGAGAATACCGAGGCTCGCAATTTTCGTCTTTCTTCTCCCACAGCTTATATTTTAAGACACTGACCATGTATTCTATTTATCCTGCAACATTGATTAAAGATCAGACAATCAAAACTTCAACAGCTTTGTTATTTAATCTTTGTTAGTCTGACGTTGACGTTACACCGAAATTTTCCTGATGACGTTCGCCAAAACAATTTCTCCGTGCAGAAATATAGTTCCAAACTACAGCAGGTATAACAGCGATTTTATCAACAATTTTCGCAAATTAGCTTTTTATTAATAACATATCAAATAACTTATTTTAACAGTTGAAAAACTTGATTTTGATTTAATTCAGAAAGAAATTTTGTTCATTTTTTGCCCTGGTTTCATCGAATTCGTGTTGGAAGCATGCTTTTGTTGGCATGTCGGTATTTTCTTGGTTGCTTTATGCACGTTTCAGTGAATTTAACTAAAAATTTAACTTTTTGTGGTAGAGACGTGACGGCGGCTACCGCGGCGATGAAAGCTGGAGACTACCGAGGCGGTGAAAGAAAGCTATTTACCGTGACAGTGACGATAACTGTCGCGTAATGAGAAATAATTTTATGTGAAAAAATGTCAGTAATTTTTTTAATTATAAGATACATTGACTAATTGCTTTACAATATACACATATACTTCAACAACAGATATATCTCAAACTACAGACTATTGGTAGTTTTTAAAATCACACACCAGCCCTGTTGATTTTGTACGTCAATATGATCATAGGGTGTGTCATATCAATTTGAATAGAATGGATGAGTGGTGGTCTCTCTGATTCTGTAGTATATAGACATGAGCGCCGTCTACTAGTTACAATCCTAAACTTTCAAATATGAACAGCCGTCCAACTATATCTTTAGAGCTTAACAACAATCACTACTAAACATAATAATAATGTGTCGTTTATATAATCTTCTTCACTAGAAAATAAAAATCTAATATATGATGAAAAAACAGCTCGTGTATCTATCATTTAAAATATTTGTGGGCGAATTTACATTCCTGAATGACATTATATCTGTAGGCTTTTCACGGAAAACTACTTTATAGCGATTTAAAATGCTACATGTAAAATATCACTACATCATGCAGGTTTAATACCAACAGTAAAATATCACTACTTCATACAGATTTAATACCATTAGTAACATATCACCACTTAATTGCACAATAAAATACTGAAATGGGGAGTGATTTTCTTTTCATAATTTTTTTTGAAACTGTTTAATTTGCTTTTTTTTTGTCTTTCAGAGACGTTATACAGAACTCATTTTTTGGTGTTCGAGAGGACCAGAATGAATCGGACTTCAATATTAAAGTAAAACAGTCCAGAAACAGTAGGAAATTAGAGACCTGGTGAAATAGGGACTGTTTTCACAGGTATGTGATGTGACATTATTTCAACAGAGTGAAACGGATCCATGGTGTGGCTCAGCAATGTTTCATTCACCAGTAAAATGATTTTGTCATAGCTGTGTGTTAACGTCTTGTCACATGTTCTGATAGTGTATAAGTTTCTTGAGGAAATATCTGAAAAATGCAGGTGTCTACCACACGTGGTGTCACCGGACTGCCGGTTATAACTTCCGGTCACATGGTTTACAACGTATCAACAGAAACCTCTAACAACGAAGTACAACATGGCGGAGAAGAGCCATATTACTTTCAGGTACGTGAAACATTTAGATAATATGAAATAGACAAAAATACTGATATACAAATTTTTCTCATCGCTTAAGACATAGAAAATCAAGTTTATGTTTTTTGTCGGTAGCACACAGTCCGTTCTACTGACTATTCCAGCAAGTCGGTAGTCCAACGCTGAATACGAGTTTTTCATCACTTTGAATTTTGACACACAATGGCATAAAAAAGTCGCAATGCTAGCTATGAATGTAACATTATGACGGGTTTTAACGTCCCAACAATATTGGTGTGGCTACGAAACAGCTTCACTCATTGCTAGAATGGAAAACAAGTATCAATACCATAAATATACATGAACTTTTATGACTGTTCTGTAGATGACTTTTATATTTATCGGTATGAGACTAATAGAATCTCCCACCCCCTTTGGGGTGAGACAGGGGGATCTCAACCCGAGGGGGATTATTAAGTTGTCAATCACGAGGCTTACCGAGTGTTTGACAGCTTAATAACCCCCCACCCCCACCCCGAGGGTTGAGATCCCCCGGTCTCATCCCAAATCGGATGAATGATTATTTTTCTCTTACCCTGTTCCCCCGCTGATTGTAAAATACGAAATAGAATGTTTGTAAACAAAAACTCGTAGACAACGAATGAATATAGTGACGAGCCCGTCTCAACCGCGTCACGCTTAATTGTGTCATCCCGCACAAAATAAAATTCCCATTAACGGTACAGTAAAACATAAAAAGGCATAATGTTAATGATAAAAAAAAGCAATTTTAATGTGAAAGTATGGATGAGATGACTTCAATATATACACAAAATCAACACATATTATTAAGTCGTTATTTTACAATGACGTCATTTACATTTCAAGTTCCACTTCCGGGTCGAGATAGTGACGTCATATTATTGTTGAGAACGCGCAAGGAGCGTGTGTAGCTTGTCTCAACCCTAGGGTGAGATAGAAAAATCTCACATCGGTAAAAACTGTGGATATCCCTGTCCGGGGTAAGAGAAATGTTCATGTCTTATATCTTGGAATACTGTTTTTTTTTGGTTAATGTATAAACGTCTATACTTATCTGACCAATGTTAAAGACGGGCTGTCTAATTTAGATAATTCAGTTTATCTATTAACCGAAATTTTCTAAGAGATTTAAATGCCTTTAGTCGTTTGAGAATTTCCCTTACTGTTAAAGTTCCTCAACTCGAAATCTTTCATACAAAGAATAAAAAAATACCGTAAAATAGGCGCCAGTTCTACTTCATCCCAATAAATCTGTTTAGGAGGTTTCATAAGTTAAAGGACGATAATGCAACTGGAAATTGGATTTAAAAAAAATGATGTCAACTTCAGACCATGGTAATTTTGTGCTATATGTTCATTATGTCTAACAGATATCAAATATCCAAATTACATTTTACTTGTGTGTAAATTCATTAAGCTCTCACAACGTCTAGAATCCATTCAGCTACATGCAGATACTGTCTTTTCCAGGTAATACTACACGATAAAATATAGCTCACTGTATTTACATTTTATGATATAACTTCGGAAAGAGTATTATTAACTTTCTCCCTTGTTTACCTAATGTCGAGGCAGGAGTTGATATAGTGGGGATGTAAAATAAATGTCTGTATTGCTTTGCAAATTACCTTACTCCGAGACAATTTCCTGGAACAACTTAAAATGGCGACAAACGCCTCCTAGATTATTCCCGCCATATTTTAGATCACGTGATACTAACATGTTCCTTTGGCAGTGAAAACGAGGCGTATGTCTCAAGTCACCTTTTCAAGCATGTCTATTGCATGGAGTCTTTGAAATCTGAAACAAGTAGTTGAATTATCAAAAATTTAAAGAGTGGTGTTATTTCCCGGAGAGAAACATTTTAGAAACATTGTGTTCTGCGGGGTGAAGCGGATACAAATATTTTTGATGGAAATAAGGATGGTTACATTTAAGCCATATTAGGCGCGGTGTTTATTTAGCACGTTGTCCGTAACGACAAATCGTTCACCTACTCACCTTAATTAGAATTCATTCGGTATTGTTATGGATGGTCCTATATGTATCGCTGATGTGTCTTTGACGAGTATTTAACACGCTTCTCTTTACTTCCAAACTGATACTTTGTATAAAAGTGTGAAGAACATCAGACCCGGCCACTCCTTCTTAAGTAATTAGAGAAGACATTCTAAGTGCGAGAACATCGTTGACTCAACCCACGTTATATCAATCATTGTGTAGAGATTAAGCTAATCAGTTCGGCTTTCATCGCAAATGTCCAAACACATCAGTCAAAACATCATTCTTGCACTTCACATCACTAGATAAGGCCGGTAATAATGATATATTTATATCAGTCCCAACTTTCATAGTCATTAATCATTCTGTCAATGATATTGGTACATAAAGTTCCCCACTGTTCTGTCAATGATATTGGTACATAAAGTTCCCCACCGTTCTGTCAATGATATTGGTACATAAAGTTCCCCACCGTTCTGTCAATGATATTGGTACATAATGACCAGTTCTCCCGCCGTTCTGTCAATGATATTTGGACAAAATGTCTGGTTCTCCCGCCGTTCTGTCAGTGATATTGGGACAAAATGTCCAGTTCCCCGCTGTTCTGTCGATGATATTGGGACATAAGGTCCAGTTCCCCACCGCTGTATCAATGATATTGGGACATAATGTCCAGTTCCCCCACTGTTCTGTCAATGATATTGTGACATAATGTCTGGTTCCCAACCGTTCTGTCGATGATATTGGGACAAAATGTCCAGTTTCCCCATTGTTCTGTCAATGATATTGGGACATAATGTCTGGTTCCCAACCGTTCTGTCGATGCTATTGGGACAAAATGTCTGGTTCCCCCACCGTTCTGTCGATGATATTGGGACAAAATGTCCGTTCCCCCACCGTTCTGTCGATGATATTGGGACAAAATGTCTGGTTCCTCCACCGTTCTGTCGATGATATTGGGACAAAATGTCTGGTTCCCCCGCTGTTCTGTCGATGATATTGTGACATAAGGTCCAGCTCCCCACCGCTGTATCAATGATATTGGGACATAATGTCCAGTTCCCCCTCTGTTCTGTCAATGATATTGGGACATAATGTCTGGTTCCCAACCGTTCTGTCGATGATATTGGGACAAAATGTCTGGTTCCTCACCGTTCTGTCGATTATATTGGGACATAATATACTGTTCCTCCACAATTCTGTCGATAATTTGTAGACATAATGGCCGTTTCTCCCACTTTTCTGTCAATGTATAGTTTGATCTCTAACCCTTTCCACTTATCTTGGAAATCTTCCAAGAACGCTTGGGATAACAGTAGCTTGATAGCAACCTTAGATTACAAATCAAAAGACTGGAAATAAGAGGTGATTACCTGAGTAATGTTTAACAGAATCTGTATGACCACACGTAAGGCCATTCAGTGTCAGTCTTGTTTGCCCAGTATGGAGATCTCCAACAGTATAAGGTTGTCGATATGTTGTTGACAGTAACCCTCATTTGGTCGTGACCGTCAGCTGGCCTTTGGCGAGGACAACACCACAATTCTATTATATATACTGATTTGCAAATTATTTTCAGTGGTGATCCCTTGGATTGACCGTCTCCAGGATCAGAATTAAGGATTTATCCCCGGGGTCTTTCACGTGTTAAGGCCTTAACGTATAGCTGTGTGAGATAAAAGGTCACCGTAATACTTATCCTTACTTATTAATATCTAGTCTGCTGCAATAACTATCTAACCGCTACGCCCCGAGGCTGAACGAATGGTTAAACCTCGCGAGAGCTGGTCTTAGTGAGGAGAAGTGTGTCTAAAGTATTAGCTGAACAATCGATAATGAAAGTTCCATGAATGGATAAGAATATTTCAAGATGGCTGCCATATATGGCACCGGAAACGTTTCTACCTTTTTAGGCTCAATTGCTTCTGTACCGTTTCAGAACACATGATTGAAGTTTCACTTCCGGAACATTTTTGCATTGCATCTGATTCCAAAAAACCCCTTCGGAATCTGACTATGACTTTTTCACTTCCGGAACATCTGATTCCGCTTTTCCATATTTAGAACACCTCCACTTTTATTTCTATTTTACAACACTTTAAGCTTCTATTTATTACTCTTGCTGGCCCGATGGAAATTTGCGAGAGGTCTTGTACTTGGAGGCAACCAGAGTAATTGGAGAAATCCCACTCGGTCGATCAGGTGACCTTTGACCTCTACACTGCCTACTTAGAGCCTTGGTCTTTTCAAAACACTGTTTTTGTGTCAAGGGTTCTGGACACGTTTAACAGTTGTTGAAGTCAACGTCAGATAAATAATATATATTTGTAAGGACTATAGACAATAAAATGTTATACATCAAATGTGAGTTAAGTATGAGTCATCAAAGGCGGAGAATAAATGAAGAAAATATTCTATACACTAGACCTGGGGAATATTGATCAATGGTCACACTGTCGTATAAAAAGATATTTCCCTATAGTTTACCAGTAAATTTATGTCTAGTATGGATTATTAATACTCTGTTTTCTGTACCAGTAAATCTATGTCCGGTATGAATTATTAATTCAATGTTTTCTGTACCAGTAAATCTATGTCCGGTATGAATTATTGATTCAATGTTTTCTGTACCAGTAAATCTATGTCCGGTATGAATTATTAATTCAATGTTTTCTGTACCAGTAAATCTATGTCCGGTATGAATTATTAATTCAATGTTTTCTGTACCAGTAAATCTATGTCCGGTATGAATTATTAATTCAATGTTTTCTGTACCAGTAAATCTATGTCCGGTATGAATTATTAATACTCTGTTTTCTGTACCAGTAAATCTATGTCCGGTATGAATTATTAATACTCTGTTTTCTGTACCAGTAAATCTATGTCCGGTATGAATTATTAATTCAATGTTTTCTGTACCAGTAAATCTATGTCCGGTATGAATTATTAATACTCTGTTTTCTGTACCAGTAAATCTATGTCCGGTA